TATTTACCCCTTGTGAGCGGCCACTTTAGTGCTGATGCATTTGCATTTCAACACTGAGAGACAAAAAAGACTATTTCTATTGTAATTCATTTATTCTTTTATTAATATGCCAGACCGTATGTCTGTAAACATAAATAACATAAAAACAAAGTAGTTCAGCCTGAAATGTCGTTAGTAACAAACCAAAACGTGTGAAAATCGTGGGAAAGAGTTGTGGAGTTGCGATTATTTCAGTGAACAGCTTCCTCAGTTTAAATAAATGCGCTAGGGCCGCAAGAGGGACCCATCCAAGATGGAGGCCGCGCTGGACGCGTCAGTCTGTATGACTTCTACATAAATGATATCTATGGTCAGACTGAGCCGGATATGACTTCAAACTTGCTGTAGCAAATATTATGCTCCGGTCTGAAACAGTTTGGAGAAATGACAAATAAAATGTCATTAGAGTGTCTATGGTGAAAAAATAAAAAGTGCAAAATATTTCTGCAGTAGCCTGACATTTTATGATTATATTAAATGATTTAGTATTAAATGAATGAGCAGTTTATTTTTTTATTTTTTTATTTTACATTTAGTGGTGCATTTGGTTTTTACAAAACTTTCATAAAACAACAAAAACAATGCATGTTTACTGTTAAAATAAAATATTTTAATAAATTTCCCCCTGTGGTTCAAAAGAAAGTTTTCTAACACAACAGTCAAATAAACAAATACACACATGGGCAACAACCTTATCAGCCGTATGCAATAAAACAAGAAGATAACATGCATTTGAGTTGTAATCAACTCAACTCTGATTAGTTTGCATGACATATTAATTTTATTTCACATCAGAAAGAGTTTCTCCACTATTGCTCAAGAAATCTTTTTTTTTTTCTTTTTTATGAACATGAACACCATGTTTATGTTTGGTGAGAACCACAGCATCTGCACAAACACTTCACACTGTCCATCACAGTGATGAAGGGGTGATAATTCCGGTCTATTTTCCTGTGCTCCAGCACCTTACAGTCTTTGAAGAGATAATGAGCTCCTCCTTTGGAGTTAAACATTGGACTGAGGAAATTTTTTATTTATTTATTTATTTATTTATTTATTTATTTATTTATTTATTTATTTATTTATTTATTTAACACTGGTTTTATAATGCACTACACATGCTTCTTTTTTATTGAGAAATCTGACTATTTTTGATAAACTAATGATTAAAACTGTGATTAATTGATGAGCATTCTGGTTGGATTGTAAAACAAAGTGTTTGTTTAAAAAAAGACAAGATTATTTAACACACCTACAGCAGAGCAACATATAATAAATTATTACTCATTAGAGGGATAGACTGTTGTAAAAAGACCTGTGCTGTTGTTCATGATTCTTTACCAAACTATCCTGAGACTAATAAAGGTCTGTATTTTGGTCCAGCTGAAGTGTCTTGACTGAAGTTTAGCTGAAAATGGGTCAAAATGCAAGACAACGACCTTAACACAGAAATATATTGCAAAGAAAATGTAGTTTTTGTGTCCTACTCTCATTTTCATTATATTAGTTTTACTTCAACTGTATATTAAAAACACTGAAAATAATGATTGATTTAAAAACATGTCAAAACTGAGCCACCTTTTTCTTGAGTAACTGAAGAGACATTTTAAAGTTTGTGTTTTTATTATTTCCCAGACGTAAACATTTATGTTTAGATGTCTGTGCTTTAAGTATTTAGGTTTTTATTTTTGTTCCACTCATCTATCTTTAGCTAGAAATACCTGTTTTACAAACACAGTGGACTTGTTAGTTAATAGGCTCTCTGTCATTTTAAAGGCGTATAGCACTTAATTTTATACCTTGATAATATGGAATACAAAATGTGTGCAGAAACTAATCTTTACACTTGCAACCAAATGGTTGATAACATGAAATATGACCATAAAAACAAAAAAGTGTACTCCAGTAATATTTTATTGCATTTTTATATTTATTACATGTGAAATCACTGTCAGCTCGTCTACAGTGTACATCTTTATTTTCACAGTGAAACTGGTGTGAAACAAGAATTATTAGACAACAGGGATTCTTTGCACTTATTAGCTTGTGTTGATAAAAGCAGAGAGCATGAAATAAACAGGATCCCTGGTTACATGACCAGACCCCCATTTATCCTGGAAGAACCCAACATCTCAAGCAGCTGCCCTTTGTTCTCTTTTTTCTCATTCAAGGTTATAATAATAATAATAATAATAATATTATTATTATTATTATTATTATTATTATTATTATTATTATTATTATTATATAAATGGTGTAACCCCTAAAAAGTCCATATTTTATTTCTGATCTAAAACCTGAGTTTTTTTGGTTTTTAGGCCTCTGCAGTCGTTGCATGATGACCTGGTCAGCGATATCTTGTTGCTGTCACAGAACTAAAGCTATAAAATAACTCACATTCAAACAAACAGTTTTTTTTTTAAATTTTCCCTCCTTAATATCATTTGGTGTTACAGTAACAGAAACGACTGCATCAAATAAGAACAAACATTTAAAACACCCTAAAATGTAGTTTCACAAGACATATTAAAGAAACCCAACTAAAGATTAATATTTGATACAATTAAAATCATTAAATAAAATATGGTATAAATTATCACTTTGCTTTTGTTATATTCAAGAGCACAACTCATATAAAAATTTATTCAAATCACCATTTTCTAAAACACCTAAATATCTTTTTTTTTGGTGGATGAAGTTATTTTCTACATATTTTTAGTCATTTGTTTTATCTAACATGACTTTGCCATAACTGCACCTGTGGAGGCAGCGTCAGAGAATCACAAAGCAACAGAAGAAGTGTTGGGTCACATTTATTGTCTTCATGGGATTTTCCTGTGAGGAGAGAAGAGAAGAGGCAGATATAACAACCTCTAGAAATCAGAATACAGCAGTGGTGGAGAAAGTACTCAAACACTGCACTTAAGTAAAAGTACAAATAAACAGACAGGAATGTACTCTAGTAAAAGTAAAAGTACCACATCAACATTTTTACTTGAGTAAAAGTAAGTAAGTACTTGCTTTTAAAAGTACTTAGAGTATTAAAAGTAGAAGTACTTGCTTAATGTATTCCCTAATGTTTACAATATTATAAAGTGTGTCTATGTATATTTTAAATACATCAATGGTGTGCGATTTTAGTGAACAACGCTGCAGTTTGTGTTGACCCTCTGTGACACTGTTCACACTTGGTGTGATTCTGTGCATCACCACAGATCGTGACAACAGCTGCAGAAGCTGTAAATTTGCCACCATCGTCCTTTTATCAAATCTCAACAAGTTGTTTTTGGAACCAGTTAAATAAGGCATGAGTGGCACATTTCCTCCTTTGTGGAATCCATTGTGGGCATGATGCTGCTGCTGCTGCTGCTGATGCTCCAGGTGATGCAGAATTGCTTCCTTTTTTTTCTTTTTGAAGGAGGGTCTAATGGTACTTTCCTGCTTTGCATTGCTTCAATGGACCAATTACAGAAATTCCCCTCTCGCCACTGATTACTTTCAAACAAACAAAAACAAAATTTTAAAAAAAGCAATGCGACACGACATAAATGTAATTTGTAATTTACATTACAGAAATGTAGTGGAGTAGAAAGTACAGATACTTAATGTAAAATGTAGTGGAGTAAAAGTAAAAAGTTCCCATGATGAAATCTAATTAAGTAAAGTACAGATAGATGAAAAATGTACTTAAGTGCAGCAACAAAGTACTTGTACATCCCACCACTGGAATACAGTGGATTGCAAAAATAGTCACTCTTTTTTTGGTATATTTTATTTGGTTGCCTTACAATCTGGATCTTAAATCTATCTAATTGTTAAAATATTTAGAAAATCTAAGGAAAAAAGAATAAAACAATTTGAATATGAAAGTTGTGAGTGCAAATACGTTCACTCTTTGCTTTAAAAGGCCAACCATTACTTTCAATATTTTATAATTTGCTTCTTTCTAGGCTGTGTACCCAATAAAATACATTCTCATACAAACAAATGTGCTCATATGTGTCTAGAGATGTTTGTGTGTCTATCTTCATGGCTAAAATACGATGCTGGCCTCCTGTTATCATGATTAACAGATAGTTTGTTTTGAAAGCTGAGTCTCTATAATGCACCTGTTGGGAAGTGTTTGCTGAGTTCTTCTTTAGACATCTAATCTCAATGTTCCTTTGACAAAATAACAAAAATACATGTTTGATTTCCTAATCGTTTCACCAAGGTTTTCTGATAAATAGTATTAAAATTTGCTTTACCGCAGCTAAAAGAGAGTTGTCTACCAAAACTCTCAAACCAGGTAATCAGGCCATTAATGGAAGAAGTAACCAAATTAAATTAATTAAATTAAAATAATCTGAATAGACCTTACCAGGGAGGCTCAGAAGTGTGATCCCCCTATCGTTGGAACACACTCTGCGGTCCCCCTTTATAAATAGGGAGACCACCACCCCGGTCTGCCAATCCAGAGGAACTGCCCCCGATGTCCACGCAATATTGTAGAGTCGCGCCAACCAATGCAACCCCACAACATTCAGAGCCTTAAGAAACTCCGGGTGAATCTCATCCACCCCCGGCGCCCTGCCACAGAGGAGCTTTTTGACCACCTCAATGACCTCAGGACCAGAGATTGGAGAGTCCGACCCAGGGTCCTCAGGCTCTGCTTCCTCATGGGAAGACGTGTCGGTGGGATTGAGGAGGTCTTCGAAGTATTCCGCCCACCGACCAACAACGTCCCGAGTTGAGGTCAGCAGCGCACCATCCCCACCATGTTGGTGGTGAACCCCTTTTCCATGGCCTCTCCGAACTCCTCCCACGCCCGAGTTTTTGCCTCAGCGACCACCCGAGCCGCAGTCTGTTTGGACTGCCGATACCTATCGGCTGCTTCCATAGTCCCACAGGCCAAAGAGACCCAATAGGACTCCTTCTTCAGCCTGACAGCTTCCCTCACCGCCGGTGTCCACCAGCAGGTTCGAGGGTTGCCGTTCAAGCCATTTACACTATTTGCTCACCCATTCAAATGACTGAGCACCAGTGCACAAAGCAAGGTCCATAAAGACATGGATGTCAGAGTCTGGTGTGGATGAACTTGACTGGCCTGCACAGAGTCCTGACCTCAACCCAACAGAATATCTTTGGGATGAATTAGAGTGGAGACTGAGAGCCAGGCCTTCTGTCCAACATCAGTATGTGACCTCACAAAATGGTCAAAAATCTGCATAAACACACTCCTAAACCTCATGGACAGCCTTCCCAGAAGAGTTGAAGCTGTTCCAGCTGCAAAGGGTGGACCGACGTCATGTTGAACCCTATGGATTAGGAATGGGATGTACTTTAAGCTCATTTGTGAGTCCAGACAGGTAAGCCAATACTTTTGGCAATATAGTGTATTTTTAAATAATTTTGAATTTGAAATTTTTTGTGTGTTGGTTCATTTTTATTATCAAATTGGAAATATTCGTGTAAATTCTATTTTGTAAAATAATAAATAAGCAATTTGTTTGAATAGTTTTGTAACTCTCAGCAACTGAAGGCAGACATCCAAAAACATCTTTACATTATTTGTGCCAACTTTTTTTTTTTTTTTACCAGAGTTATGCTCACCTTCTTTTATGTTGTAAGTAAAGCTGGAAAAGCCAGTGACTGATCAGAGACCAACATGTTGTCAGCACCACCGTCACCGGAGAGTAGTCTAATGGCCACCAAGATGGTTGGAAGAACTAAAGTGTAAAGACAAAAACTGGAATAAAAGTCCTTTACTTTCCAGATAAAATGTGCTGACACTAGCACTTTACAAAAAGAAGAGAAACTGGATAAATCATGAGCTAAATGTTTTACCAGGACTTTTTGTGAAACTCGTAAAACCTCTTTCTGAGGTGGTGAAGGTAATCTTGACTAAAAAAGAAATGAAAGACATAAATGTTTACATAGAAACCATACTTTAAAACCAACTTTAAATGGCACTGATGAATTTTAGAAAGGTTTTTGTCTCATCTATAGAAATATGGTAACTAACAGCTGTGGTCCTTTACCTGTGACTTTGTGAGCTCCTCCAAAGTGTGCAGCCTGTGCAGCACATCGGCCATGTCCTGCTGCAGCCTCAGCAAAGCTGCTGCTATTTGCATGTTGACGTTTGCCCTCCAAACACCCGCAGGATGTCTGTCCTTTGACACACAGCAAGCAGCATCAACACTGACGCACTGCAATGAGTCGCAGATGATTTCTGGAGATTGAGAACCTGAAAGACAAAAGCCACACCATTACAGATTACTGATTCACCATCTGTGGACAATGGGGACAATGGTAATTTTGTTGGCGTGTTTGAAGAGTAAAGAGAACCAAGAGTCAGGGAAACAACTTCTTACAGCTGCTCCTTTTATAAGGATCACAACAAGTAGATCATCTGACTCCATTTATTTCAGTGTCTATCCTCTGTTTATCCCCCCTCACTCCATCCATGAACCGTCTGTGTGGTCTTTCTTTCTCTTTCCCTCCTCCCTGGCACCTCCACGTTCAACATCCTGTGTCCAGTATGTCCACTGTCCCTCCTCTGCACATGTCCAAATCATCTCTGTCTCTAACTTTGTCTCCAATTTGCTCAACCTGAGCAGAAGGCAAAAGGGCGACAATGTCTCTCTACAATGGTGCGGTATGAGGGCCAAAATGAAGACTATTGAGCAACCAGAGGTTGCGACATCCTCCTCCTACTTGAGAAAAGCCAGAACTATCATGTTGGGGCTTTTTACAGTTTTTGACAGGGTATTAAATTTGGCTTCTCCATATTGAATTATAATTTATACTGTCATATACAGATATTTCTCATAGTTTGGCTATAGAGAAAAAAAACTGCCATCAACCATAAACAAGGGCAGACACAGCTGCTAATTCACGTGGTAACTAAAGCTGTCTGCTGCACAGTAATATGTTTAATATTTATGCTTGAGTTCATGTTGAACAGTAAATTCTGTCTAAAGAACACCTGTCAGTGCATGTCGCTTATAGGTTTTGTACGGCAATCATTTTTGTTGAGAAAGTTTTCTTAATTCAAAAAAGTTTGTGTCTAATAAAGTAGGTGAGCAGCCTAGGCATGCTAATCGCTAGCCTCTTCGATGCTAATGCCAGCTTATCCATGCTAGTCGCTAGCCTCTCAGATGCTAATGCCAGTCTATCCATGCCAATGGACAGCAGAGGGAGTTGGCAATCCAGTGGGTCACTAGCCTACCTAAGCATGCTATTGGCTAGCCTCTCCAATGCTAACACCAGCTTAACCATGCTAGTCGCTAGCCTTTCAAATGCTAACTCAAATGAATAGTCTCCAGATTTGCCAGTGTCAGCCTCTCAGTTACCAGTGGTGGCCTATCAATAATCAGATCAATAGCTGGCTTAGGAATAGATGTAGCCTCCTGCTACAAGGATATAGCAATCAATGGTTGTGCAATGGTCTTAATTTTGGCCCTCATACTGCATCATACTCTACTTCTTACAGCTTCACTGTTCCACCTCTCCCTCTCATTCACACAAGCATTTTGTCTCATTTTTACCGACTTTCATTCCTCTTCTCTCCAGAGCACACCTCCACATCTGAGGGCTCCTTTTCACTCCCGCCTGACCTCATCTGCTAACCTGTCCATCAAAAAAAGCAAACAAGAAGGATCTTACACACGATCCCTAAAGTGATCCCAGCCCCACCTTGAAGTCACCTGTCACTACTCACTGCACATCTCAGCACTGATTCACTGTCCTGCCCTCTTCATCACCGCCACTACCCTTAAATATCTGACTTTACCCACATTGTACAACAGCTCATCTTTTGACACGATGTAATGGAAACAAAACATCTCTAGTCTCACCTTTTCCTTTTCTTGACAAGGACCTGTTGTATTTGCTGGAATCAACCTCTGTTTGGATGCAGAACTCATCCCTGAGTACCTCAGCTTCTTTCAGAGTTTGACTGCTCTCAAACCAGAGGTCATTTGGCCACAGGGAGGCAGCTCCTGGCTTCGATGACTGGCCTTGTGATGCACACATCTGCTTTGCAGGAAAATGAGAGAGGGACAAGGTCTGAATGAAAGCAAATGCAGTTCAGCTTAGTTACTTCTTGGATTATGCAGTCATATTGAACATGTTTGGGGGAAAACACTGAACCTCTTCCATTGCCAGATGATCCACTGAGTCACAGAATTCCTCATTGTCAGAGTCTGGAGATCGGAGGTTCCTGTCAGAAGCTGCATCACAGGGATCTATGTGGATGGATGGATGGATGGATGGATGGATGGATAGATGGATGGATGGATGGATGGATGGATGGATGGATGGATGGATGG